GACAGCATCATGATATTTGTCAGCGACGTCTGCGCCTTCCACATCTAGGAGTACTGTCACTTTGGAAGGAAGCCTGCACACTTGTCATGAACCTCGAAGAACTAAACGACGTTGCAATAGTATACTTGAGAGGAGACGTATAAACAAAAGGATCAACCCGCTCAATGACCTGTCGGCATCCGTCACATCCTAGCGAAAGCGAAAGATATCTCAAAAAGGCAACCTCAGTCCGTCCGGTGAAAGAGACCGCCTTAGGTATACATCCTCTTCGCATCACGATAACCCCCACCACCGCGCATATCATCCTCGAAAGCCTCCGCGACCTCAAGCACACGCTTGACATGCTCCATACTAAAGACCGACTTCTCCGCAAGCGCAATCGACTGCGACGTCTTGACCGTATTTTTGATCTGCAGAAATTGTTAGCCGACATCCACGCATATCGCAACAACAACAAAACATACCTGTCTCCCATTCATACTCCTCTTGCTCAACTCATCAAAGTCCACCTCGGTAAACGGCTTCATCACCTTCGTTCCCTTGTCCTCTTTCCCCTCCTTCGCAGTACCCTCCTCATCACTGTCTTTATCCTTGCCCTTCTTCTTCTCGGCCTCGGCGTCACGACCCATCTGCTCCACCTTGCCAATATGGTGCTGCCAGATCTTCTTCCTCGCATTGGCTTCCAGGTTGTCGTAGCGGATACCCATGTGAATCCTGCTCTGGAACGCTTCGTCAAACGTCTCTACACGGTTTGTTGTGAGGAAGAGGATGCCTTGGTAGTACTCTGTCAGACGCAGGAACACAGATACGAGGCTGTTGCGATGAATGTCGTGGGGTTGGCGCGCTTCGAGAAACACGTCTGCTTCGTCGAGGAGGAGAATAGCGCCCCAGGAATGCGTAATGTCCATTATGCGGTTTAGATCGGTTTCGAGTGAGCGGCTGTTTGTGCCTAGTTCGCCTGCCGAGACGGCGTAGAGCGGACATTTGAGGTACTCGGCGATGGATTCACCGGTCAGCGTCTTGCCTACACCGGGTGGGCCGTGGAGAACGACGTTGAGGCCTTTACCTTTGCCTTGGATGACGTCGTCGATGGTCTTTGCGGCGTTGAAGCGGTGGGAAGAGACGAGGCCTTTGAGGTTCTGCTTGATGCGGCTGGGCAGGACGAGGCTGGAGAAGGCTTCGTCGTTCCATCTGATGTCGTCGATGCCGGCGAGCGAGAATTCGAGCCAGAGTTTTTCCGAGAAGGCGAAGCCGAGGACGACGGGAGAGGCTATGAGGAGCTCTTCTTCGGTGAAGCATTGTTGCTTGTCCTCTGCCCCGTCTTCGTCGGTCTCGACCTGCTTGTCGGGACTGTCGCCCTTTTCCTTGTCGATGACGCTCTGTGGCACGCGGATGGGGTGTTTCTTGCCCTTCTTGTCCTTCCACATGACGATGCGCATCTTATCTTTCTCCTCGTCTTCGTCGCCCTCATCAGATCCACAGCAGCAGTCGTCACTATCGTCATCGTCATCATCGTTTTCCTCATTCTGTGCAAGCTCGTCTTGTTTGAGATACGAGAGCGGATAGTTGGGATTAATGCGGCGGAAGATGGCGGGATCGACCATGACGCGGCCATTGATGATAAAGCGGATGATGTTGTTCTTGTGCTTCATGTACGCAATGCCCTTCTGGAGGCGGTAGTTCATGCCTTGGAGAGCGACGAACTTCTTGCCTCGGTCGACGAGTTGCTTCTTGATGCTCTGCAAGACCATTAGCTAATGCACGCTCGATCAACCGGTCAACAACTCACATCAGGATCCTTGTGGTACTTCAACGGATAAGCCGAGAGACTAGTAATCTTCTTGTGCCCCTTGAACGCCTGGATCGTAATTTGATGGTCTCCAAGGCCGAAAGACTTGCCGTCATACTCAAGATACTTGCCATCTACATACCAGGACTTGACTCCTGTCATCCAGCTCTCATACTCATACGCAGTCTCGACCTTGAAGCATCGCGGATCATCCTTATTGTGATACGTGGGAGTGAAGGCGATCGTGTTCGGCTTGAACAATGCCCAAACGAGGTCGTACGTGATCGTACCCGCTTTGAGCATGGGCCGGAGAGCCTTGCGCGTCGCAGTGTAATCCTCATCAATGTAACTCAGAAGTAGTTTGCATGATGCAATCTGCTGTTTGACACGCTTCTGCTCTTTCGACTTCTTTGCCTTCTTCAGCTTTGGCTTCAGCGTCTTCTTGATGTAGGTCTTCAATTCGTCGTAGTAGTGGAACAGTGTGTGGGGGTCAATCTGCGGTATGTCTTCCACCAGGCTGATGCTCTTGCAGTCCTTGAAAACTTCTTGGAGTGCGTTGCGAAGTAACTTGGATTTGATATCCAGTTGTGTCTCTTGATACTTGCCTTCCCAGTTGAGTCTCCTGCGCACGGTGAACACGCAGTCAAACTCGTCTTTTTGGTCGGCGTTACTCTCGACGAGTTTCCAATCGCGTATCTTCATGTCGAAAACCTGGTCGACGCGCTTGAACTCGAGGGCGTTCTTCTTGACTGGCTTATCAAGCTTCGTAGTGGATACGGCGGCAGCCGCAGCCGCAGCGTTGAGAGAAGCTTGTTGCGCCTTGAGACTGTTGAGCAGACCACTTACTTTGGTCACTTGTGTGTCAAGGGTATCTCCTGGCAACGGAGGCTCTAGCGGCGGGGTCGGCACAAGGAGATCATCCTCGGAAGACGATGTCATTGACGAAAATTCAGATAATTCAGCCTTCTTCGCTTTCTTTGCCTTCCGCTTGGCTTTCCCCTTTGCGCGTTTACGTCTCGATTTCTCGTCCTCGGAATCCGACTCGCTGTCGGATGAGCTCGAAGTGTTAGAGCTACTGTCGTCGCTAGAGCTGTCTAGCTTCTTGTTCTTCTTCTTTTTGGCTTTGGCTCGCAAGGCCTTCCGGCGGCTCTTCTTGTCATCTGCCTCTGAATCTGAGTCCGAACTTGAGTCGGAGGTATCAGCCGAACTCTCATCCTCGCTTGTTGAATCATGCTTTCTACTTTTGCTCTTCTTGCTCTTCGCCTTCGCCCGCTGCTTCTTCTTCGCTGCTGCTCGTTTCGCGACCAACTTCCGCCTCTTCTTACGCTTAGCCTTCTCGTCCTCACTACTCTCTTCCGACTCACTGTCGCTCTCAGAGCCACTATCATCCGATGTAGACGTCTCTTCTGCTTTACGCCTTGACTTCTTTGATGCGTGTTTCCCACGCCTGCTGACACTCTTCTTCTTCGCATCGACTAGCTCAGACTTGGGCACCTCAGTATGCTCGACGGAAACGGCTGCCTGCTTCTCATCGGTAGTCTGAGCTGTGTCGGTCACATGGGCTTCGACAGTCTCTTGTGAAGAATCCATCTTTGGCTCGTGCAGCGAGATGTCGTCCGGATCGGACTTCACGGAAGGGGTTGCAACAATGACAGGTGACGATGATGAGGTGTCGGAAAGCTTTTTGCTAGCTTTGGCAGGTAAGGAAGGTTTGGTGGAAGAAGTCTTCGAATTGTCCGGTCCGTTCATGGGTCGTAGACTTGCCAAGATGCGAGGCTGGCTCTCTCCTATTGCTTAACTGTTGAGTATGCTGCGGGAGACAAGGGCCAGGAAGAAGTCGTAACACGTAAACTTGGGGTCCGAGTCGTTCAGGAGATGTAGCAATTGCAGATGAAACAGTCTCAAGGCTGAGACAAGAGGAGGACCTAGGTCTCACACCCTTTTAACCACCGACAGAGCCGCAAGGTGAAGTCTAACCTCACTCTGTCTCTTTTCCCGACCCACACCTTTCTCTAATCAGATCTCTCGCCCACACAACACACTACTAGGCTGCAGTCTTGTATTACCGTCCTCGGTTACCCCGCAGTACCTAATCCTGGATCTGGCAAATGGCGAGCTCTGAATAGCGAACTCCGACAAGGCTGAACTTGTTGGGAGCCAGCGTGCTCAACTAGATCGTCTTATCACCATATCAGTACAGGGTGGTGGTGGTGGTGGAGTGGAGGCCGCACATACCTAATGAACCTCTTCAGCCGAATCTGCTGCCTAGCCACGACCTTCCTGTAGGAGCAACGTTTCGTCGATGTATTGGCCTGAGCAGGCTACTCTGCATGTAAAGGCTGGTAAAAAGGCGATGTCGTGATGACCGGTGAGGAGGTAACCAATGTCAAGGCAGAGCGTAGCTCAGCCTCGTCTGACAATGCCTTCAGCCTTGCAGGAGTGTGGACGCGCTCGCTTTCGCCGGTCCCAATCAATCTTTCATGGTTTATCTGCACCTCTCTTTCTCGAGAGCATGTATACGGATCACAGAACTCGGCCGTCGACTGCGTGACGATTCTTATACCTGCGGACTGGTTCGGTGGCGCTGCGGCTGTCTCTACATCACACTTCCCTGCGTTGCCGGTAACGCAAAGATGCACTGTGCTCTCTACGCACATGCATATTACCAAAGTGGCCCACCAGTTGACGTTGTGTTCCCATCGGCTGCTGCTGAGCTGCAGTGATGGTCGTTCGTGTGTCGCGCTGAGTGGCCCTGCCTCACCAGGAAGGAATGCAGTAGCTGCATCGGCTAGGTATCGAGCGCATTACCGAGTACCCGTGGCCAGCTCGCCTCACTTATCCCATGCTGCACGAATATACAGTCGCGCATACATTAGGGGCCTTGGTGTTGACGAATTTCTAATCAGAAGTATCTGTCGTTCCCTAGTGGATCGAAAGCAAGTGGTGTATCTGAGAAACAGCGAAATCAACCTCAATCCTACAAACCCAAAACACTCTCTCATAACGAAAGAAGCGCGCTGTACAACGCCTCATCAATGCATACAGCGCCATGCAGCACGCGCAAAACACGATTCGTGCGCACATGTGATACGCTGACCAGACGCCAACCGCAAGCTTCCGGTTCTGTCATGCAGCTCCAAATAACGCCCCGCATTACCGAAGACAACGACGTGATGCACGAGTTTTGCCGTCGCTGTAAGGGTATAGGCACCTACGAACTCGTCTTTTTCTTGCCAAAATGCATGTGCCCAAGGCCATGCTCCTTCGCATCCTTCATCTCACTCTCAGGCTTTCCATCAGGTAAATCGTTGGTATGAGCTGCTCCTGAGACGTGATACTTGAAGCTCTCTGCAATTCCGCCAATGTGGCCCCCGCTCTGGTGTGACCCAGTAGGCTGGTCTGCGGATCGCGAGTGGCTAGCAATATGACTAGAATTGTCAGGACGATCTGGTTGCGTGGGGTCTGAGATTGCTGTTGTCGGCCCACTCCTTGTCGCGTCTGTGCTTGTTCGAGAAGCAGAACCGTTCGGCTCCATTAAGACTCTTTCCCCATTCGGGCCATGTGGTCGGACATGCTTGGTGTCACTATCACCGCTGTCCCTCCGACCGGGAGCTTCGACAATGGTGGTACCCTTCTTGTTCTCGCTTCGGACGCTGTTCGCTCGGCTGATATCGGACTTCTCGTTGGGTGGGCTCGCTGTGCGGACACCTAGATCTTTGTCTTCGGACGGCTCCACGCCCTTGGTACCCCTCCAATCTGCGGGCTCGGCTTGTTGCACTGGCTCACCCTCCTTCGGTTCTGTAATGACAACACCAGGTCGGCCCTCTTCGCTAGAGAGTGCGCGCCAGACTACGGCTATGCGCTCGAAAGCTTGTGTGCCTTTTCGGGATGAGCCTTTAATGCCGTCCATGGCTTCCCATGCAATCTCAAAGATGCCCGACTGGTCGACATTGCCGTTCTGCTCAGGACCGTTTCCTTCGAAGTATGTGTTGAACCACACGTGTGCGACAGCTGTGACCATGGTCAGATCGAAGGCGGCTTTGTTACGACGCTCGACGTCAATGTTGATGTCGTTGGTGGGCAGGACTACGCGCTTGGAAGGTCGGAAAACAACGTCGCCTGTGCCTGTGGGTAGGCTCTCGCGCGATGATCTTGGCTCGGCCGTGGCGCCATCGACATTGGTCTGCTGCTGCTGCTCGAGGGAGGAAGTGGAGCCATTCTTGGGACCTTCGCTCGTCTTGGATGGGCCGAAGCCGTTCTTGTACATGACCTCCTGCACTGCCTGTGCCATGCCGGTAGTCTTGACTTCGCCCCGCACAATCTCCCTCTCGTCGCGGGTGAAGGTGTGGAAGTTCTTGATGAGCTTGCCATCCTCGACGAAGCCCTCGATCTGGATCTTGACACCGTCTCTGAGACCCCAGCAGTGCACCTCAAGTATTTCGACCTGCCGCTCGACATACAACTTGCCGTGCTTGGCCCAGCGATCCACGTAGTCTATCCATCGGAGTTGGCTGGGGATGCTGACGCCTTTGCCCATGTTGGGTCGCATGCGCCGCTCGGTGAAGCGATCCAGAGCCTTGTGCACCGGCCAGCCTTCCTCGCTGATGAGGTAACTGCAACTAGCAGTTCCCGATCGCCCTTTCCCGGCCTTGCAATGTACGACGACGACCCGCCCCTCCTTCTCATGAAGCCAGTTGCGCATGCTGGCCATGATGTTCGGTATCAGGGCGAAAGGCGGCGGGTGGTGATCGGGGAAGGGATAATGGTAGACGCGACCGTAGACCTCCGAGTCGGGGTAGCCCGTCCCTTCAGCGCGAAACTCCCATATGGCCCAATCGTCGCCGTGTTTCGAGTCGAGAAACTTTACGAGCGAGTCAAGCGGGTTGCGATAGGCGCGCTGCGGGTAGGTGCCACTAGGGCCCGAAGTAGCGATTACTAGACGCTGTCAGAGGGAAGACACTGGAAACCTTCTTGGGGCGACCGTACTGTTGTCGGTCACATAGCACAGGTCGAGGCCAGCTTCAGCATGCCTGGCGCGAGGGCCGGCTACGAGTTGCCGCAAAAGCGACGCCTGCGATGGTCAGTTCGATCTTCCATGGTGTCGTCTTTCTGTTGTGCGCACCATTATTCCGGCGGTCGTCTGAAGTATCAAGGAGCAATATTGCGTGTTGGCTCATGGCGGGAGTCGAGGCGCGAGGGATGCTGCCTCTAGGCGCGGGCAGGCGCGACCGAAAGGTGGGTACGTCACCCTGCCCGGCTTCTGCGCTAGGTGTCGGTTCCTGCCCAGACCTGATCACCTCCCGCCACCTTAACATTTTTACTCGCCACACGCCTCACAGCCACATCATATCCCATTTGATATTTGGTCATGCACGCGAGTACCGCAACCATCGACTCCATACTACATGTGACGTATGTCGCTTGAACCCACTGACCTGGCTTGCTGCTTCTTTGCCGACTCACCCGTTTCAGCCTGATCCGCATCAGGCTGTCATCTCAAGCAGGCATACAGCAGACCCGGCCTTGTCTCAAGATGCAAGATCATATGAGTCTCTCTGTGTAAACATTCTCTAATATTACATTGTAACAAAAATCGCCTGCTAGATGCCCCCTTTCCGACCAGTGCGTCCGAAATTTGACGACAGTTCTTCGTCGCCGCGTCCGTGTTGCTTGGGCATCCTACCACGTGCTGCGCCCAATTACTGCCGCTGACAATAGCATCTAAGCCTGGGACATTAGTCGGCTTCGACGTCATGTCTCTCCTCTACCACTCACAGATTATACCGGCGTAGCATCAAGTTCGTATGCGTCAGTCGACACAGTGCGCCGGCGTTGGCGTAGAACAGTATTCGCAAGAGCAAGGATTCCTATGACCGCAGTCACAGCTGCTAGATATGTTCCGATGACATTGAAACTAAGCTGCGTCGACATTGGCTCGGATCGTAATGAGATGTCCATGGCGCCGGATACCTGGCTTCGAGGCTTAACGACTGTATACATCAGCACATGTGATGTAACAACGCAGAGCGGACAACTCGTACGAATTCAGCTCAAAGGTAAGACTCGGATTTTACCACACTGTTGAGACTGAAAGTGAGAGGCTGTTGATGAAACGTCCTCGAAGTGGACGCAAGACAGCTGAAATGAACTTTTCCTTCTATCGGGACAAATATTTATACGTTCGTCAGAGTCGATACTCGCGTATCCTCATCTCGACTATTTTGTCTTAGGTGCAGCATAAGGCGCCGTATTTCTGCGGCATGCGGAACTTGCTATATCCACGAAGTTGCGACAGAGGCGGAAGTTGTTCAGAGGCGAAGGCTCCAGTGCGCTATTGGATGACCATGTTGTGAGGCGACAGAACATTTCTTAATTCCATGCTACCCGTCGCAGGTCGCGGATGCGTAGCGTCGTTCCACGGTGCGCAATTGGATGCCCGCGCCAGCGGGAATATCGTTATTTTTGAGGTAGTTCTAAACTCGCCATATGAGAAGCTCTACCTAACAGCAACGATGCGCCATTCGTTGACCAAAGTTCTTTCGACCGCTACTTCTTCCTGTACCACTAGCCGATGCATGGCGACCGCGGGGAACAGTACCTGCATCCGCGCAACATGCGCCATTGGTTGGCGACCATGCGATAGGACTCGATTGGTTGATACGTGCATAGAGGGACGCGAGACACACATACTGACACCGATGTATCTGGATCCCAAGGAAAACTTGATCGCATTTAAACCGTACAGAATGGCCAATATTTTGCAAGAGCTCATACAGTGTTCTTTCGACCAAGGATACGCAGCGTCATGCCTGCAGCGGCTCGCGTCTCACTAAAATGTGGCAGGTGTCGCACAGACAAGCAGAAAGTAAGCAATCGGTAAGCAGTTTCACATTATCGCTGACGTAATCTTTGTAGTGTCTCCCTCTGGGCCGCACATGGCCGGAAAGATGCGATCGATGTAACAAAATGGGACATCAGTGTTCAGAACCGCGACCGCCCGGTTCACACAAACAACCACGAGCTGTTCCTGTCGGGTCCACCTCGAACCATGCTCTCGGATTACGCCGATTGGCTTCCAGGGATGATTCTAGTGGAGGCTCCTATCATGGACCAGATACCCGACTTTCTCAAGCAGATGTGACAGCATTCAAGACCCGAGAGGCGTATGTCATGCAAGCTCGTTCACGTTGTTTCTTAGGCAACTAATTATCTGTAGTGTACTGCTTCTGTCAGTCGCCGAGGTTGTCAGCATGGCTATTGAAGAGCTTATCACAATAGCCACCCAAATGATTACGCCATTCATACACGATACGCGATACTCAGATCCGAGAGACAGTATGCCGCAAGTACAGTTGCTTGTGAACAATCTGCGCTCTTTTGCCGACGAACTTGAATCTTGCGCACTCGAATCGGGAGCTGGACTTGGTGTCTCTCTGGCTCAATCTGCCCTGAAGAATACAAGATTTGCCAAATCCGGGCTATGGACAGAGCATCAAGTTTTATTGGAGATTGAGCGTCACAAGACTACCTCATGGGACACTGCTGAATACCCTGGTCTTACCCACGCGCTCCAGACGAAGCTGTTCCGCGATCAGCCTCATTTGCTGAGGGATGACGTTGAATCTTTCTTGCTATACAGAGAAAAGTTCCTGGCCGCAGCTGACGACCTTCTCAGCCGAACGCCACTGCAAGTGCCGAGTGCTTTGAAATCTTCGCAGTTTTTCGTGCCTTGCGCGTTCGCTAGCATTCCTGGAGTCGCTGCAAGACTGTCCCGACGCAATGCTCCTGATTGCCTTGGTAGGTCTGTATCACACATACTACATGACGCCAACAGCCTGAAAGAATGGCTTCCCGGCGACATGTACACCATCGATAGTCTTGGACGCACGAGTCTATATCTTGCTTGTCGTGGAAGAAACCATAAGCGTGTGGAACAACTCATTGAAGCTCACGTTCCTAACGCGCAAGCTATGAATGGTTTATATCCGTTGGATATAGCAGCCATCTCTGGAGATTTAAGGATTTGTACAACTATCTGGAAGATGGAGACCGACTCTCGCAGGACTAGCTCCGCTTCGGAACCCTTCTCGAGCGTAGACAGCCGATATGACAGCAGCTTGGGAACCATGCGTCGGTCACCAATGATGTGGGCTGTTTTCTTCGGGCACGATCGCATCGTCAAATTCTTCCGAAACTATCGAGATACATATCCCAATATTACAGCCTTAGAGGAGGGCAATCTCTGCAATGCCATCGGTCTAGCTGCCATGCGAGGACACGGAAACGTCATCAACTACCTGTTGGAGAGTAATTACTTCTGCGATCGGGTTGACCTCAATGAACGCAGCCCTCTCTGGCACGCGGCAAGCAGTGGGCATGTATCCACTGTGGAGCTCCTGTTGAAACAGCCAGTGTTCTTTAACCGAAAGGATAACGATGGCTTTACTCCACTTGCCATTGCAGCATACAAAGGCCATTCAGAAGTGGTGGAACGTCTTAGGAACAGAGTAGACGTTTCTCTTTCGACAATTGAGGGGTGTACTCCATTATTCCTCGCAGCTTCTGCAAGGCATCGGGAATGCGTCAAACTGCTATTGATGCCTAGCGCAACAGCGCTAGGCTTTTCAAGTGTATGGAGCATCTTTGCGATGGCGCAGTTGCACGGCTATCATGAGATTTGCGCTGCATTCCACGACTACGACGAAGCCTTTACAACTTCCGAATTCCACTACGGCTGATGCCCTCTGTGACTAGCTTACACTGCTGCCAGGCCCCTTCCGTGGCGGGGTTGGAAATCTTTCATATACTCATTCTTTCCATGTGGGCATACAGGGGACTGAACACCGTTGAATGTATTGTAAATGGTCATGTTTCTTTGTCTTTGCTGTGCTTGTATATGAGCTTTGCTCTCGGTATAAGTCTTATACCATAAATCCCTGCTGCTAGTCTATAAAGCCATTCTGTTTCATCCACTTCTCACACATGCTCGGCCAATCGCTCACCGGAAGGCCTGGCGTATCCAGCGCGAACCCATGCGGTGCATCCGAGAAGACGTGAAGCTCTACAGGGGCACCAGCTTTCATGATGCCTTCAGCGAGCCTATATGCATTCACCACCGGCACGACCGGATCATTTCCAGCATACACTATGAAGGTTGGCGGAACTCTGCTCTCCAACTGTACGTCTGGCTGCACCGTATCGTAAAGCGCCTGTTTCTCTGGCGGCTCCAGCGCTGGCTTGTTCGCAATGATCTGGCGTCCTTTTGCATTCGTCGAGATAGGCGCATAGCCAATAATAGCGAATTCGAGGTATGGAACACCACTTTCCGCATTCGGGTTGCTCCAACAGGTAGGATACGTCGAGAGTAGCGATGCAGCGAGATGACCACCAGATGAGAGACCGCATACAGCCTTACGACCTTTTGCAAAGCCCTTCTCGTCAAACATTTCAAGAGCCCGCCTGGCATCGTCTACTGGCGCCTGACTGCCCGTCTCTTTATTCGGAAAACGATGTATGAGCACGAAGACATAAAATCCTAGCCCTGCTAGCCACCTCGCTACCTGCACACCTTCTCTTCCCACCATGAGCTCGACGTATCCTCCTCCACCTAGAATAAGGATATTTCGTCCGTTTGGTGTAGACGTGGTGGGCTTAAAGGCGAAGAGCCAGGGACGTGTGACGCTTGTTGCGACGGCCTCGTCGATGCCATTGGCGGTGTCGAGTGCGAAGGCTCCTTCGATGGGCTCATCATCGTACAGCGGCCATGCGTAGTCTGCATTGAGAGGGTTTGAGGAAGACATCGTTGCTTTGGAATGATATGGGGTTGTTTTGAGTATCGATGTACGGGTACACATGTGTTCTTACGCTCGGGGTACGTAGTTTGTCTCGCGGCATCATTGCGCCGAAACTACCGAGACAGTGTCCCATGGTTCCAAACGATCTGACAAGACTTAAAGACCAAACCTAGGACGCTTCCGTCCGGCGAACGTCTTGGTATCGCGCGAATGTAACGCATATCGATTCTCGATTGAATTGCCAGGAAAATGCAAGGTTATATTCAAGTATTGCGCTGCATGTCGTCTGCCTAACCGCTCCTCTTGTACCCACTCCTACTCCTCAACGTCT